TTACCCATTTATGAGCACACCAGTCTGCTAGAGCAGGTAGCCAATCACTGCGAGAGATGCTGGCTCAGGTATGTTTCTTTAATACCCACAAAGCAAACCTGTGGTTTATACTGCAACTATGCTGAGCACATCTTACTTACAGTTTATGAGAAAGAATGCATAGTCTGACATTTTGAAAAGATTGAACAAGACCAGTATGCTTGAATCCTCAGTCATGATGACTTTATTATTTTGTGCTAGTACAACCATTGGCACCCTGTGAACAGTTCTATCTGCCTGATTTCACTCGCAAGGCTTTGGTCAACTTGTAGTATGGTTTTTCAGACATTTCTTCCAAAGGTGCCACATTACTGGGATCACTTCCCTAGGCTGATAACTTTAAGAGGTCACCTATCTGACAAATAAATCATGATGAGGTTTGAACATAGGTTTCCTGGTCATAAAGCAAATATTCTAACCACTAGACCATGCATCCATGTTTTAAAAGTAAAATATTCTGTGAATAAATAACTTTTCTTTCTTTTTTTTTTTTTTTTTGTGAAAATAATGTGTGTCTTGAATTCTGCTCCCTGATAATCCATGGGTAAAACTGCGACTCAGAATGAAAAATTGGAAATCAAAGTCCATTCGGCTTCATTGCTTTCACTTATGTGCAAAGACCTTTGGGAAGGTATGAATTCATTTCCATCCCAACCACCTATGGGTTAAGTATTACAACTTGTATCTGGGAAAATCATTGTTATTCTCAAAAATTAAGGCAGTATTTGCATGTAAAAAAAAAAAAACAAAAACAAAAAAAGAACTTACAATCTCAAAAATACATTTGGTGTTAAAGAAGCTGCAAAGGGTGAATAAGCTGTGAGAAAGGAATCAGTCCATAGGTAGATTACTTGCTGCTTTCCTCTGTCCCTCTTGCTTTCAATATGTTCTGTGAGTGTCACATTCTCCAGGCCCTCTTTCCTTATTATGTGTCCTAGAAATTTCAACATTTTTTTTTCTCTCTCACTTCTGGCTGTTTGCTTTCCAATCAATCCAAAAATTTAAATGCAATGTCAATTGTTATCTTCTGTCTTAATTCCTGTTCTTTCATTTTACTTCTCCTTAATAATGTTTTCCTTTTTCTTATATTCTTTTGCACTCAGTAACCCCTTGTGTCTTAGTGACTTTATTACCCTACTTAGGATGAAATGAAGAAAAAAACAAAAACAAAAAAAAAACAGAAGAGTCCTGGGTATGACAATAAACTACATCTGGCAGCAAGGCCTCTGACCAGGAGATTGGAGGTTTTGAGGAGCATGGAACCATCTTTTAATTGCCGTTGTTCCCAAGTCCACCCTGACCTGGGGTGGTAGCACCTGTTAGGGTTCCTGCTATGGGCAAATAGTTAACCCCCAAACTGGGGTCAAAACACTATGAAAGTATAGAAATAGATTTTTATAGTAAAAATACCAGTAATATATTTTAAAAAAAAATATTACCAGCAATAAATTTTTTGAGAAAAAAAAAAAAAATTACCAGCGATAAATTTGACTCTTGACTAAAACTTTCTTTACAAAATTATCTCAATGAAACCTGATCTACAAAGTAATTTCTTAGAAAGAATATTCTATTCATAAGAAACTATCCTAAAAATGTTGTCAGCATTAAATAACCCATTGAGGTTATTACACTGTAAAACAAACCAAACCTATAATATAAACAGCATGTATGAGATCTTCAAGAAAGCAAAAGTGGGATGACATAATATCATTTCTTAAACCAGTCGGCCTCTACCAAAATGAGAATATCAATAAAATCAATTTTCCTACAAACTGTATATCTAAAAAGAATAGATCAATGAAACCAGATTCTCGACAAAAGCCCTCTTTACAAAAATGCATCAATAAAACCTGATCTACAAACTGATTTCTTACAAAGAATATATATTCTATTCATATGAACATATCCTAAGAATGTTGCCAACATTAAATAGCCCATTGAGGTTGATATACCGTAAAACAAAATAAACCACACACCTTGCAGGGGATATCATTGCTAGAACTGTCCTTGAACCTCAAACAATATTTTGTTGTAATATGAAAAGATAGATAGGGAAGCCATGTCAAAATATTTTTCAAACATGGTTTTATGAGCCTCTCTTAATTTAAGTACAGTACAGATGGGATTGGTGGAGAGGATGAAAAGGTTTCTTCTTGAGTAGGAGCCTTTCCTATTAATCATTTTTAATTAATCAATTCTTCATTAATAAATTAAAAGAAAAAAAAAAACTAAAAAATATACAAGTCCTAAGATCCTTTTTCATTTATGTGCCATGTCCCTTCAGGACATAAGCATTCATGGCCCTCTACATCTTCCTGTCCCTTGTATCTCTTAATAAGTTTTGTCTTTTTGTTATTTCTCCCAGGCCCTGTTCTGCCATCCATTTTCTCAAGCCCATTAAGTATGTCACATGTTGCTTTCCTCTGTCCCTCTTTCCCTCTATCTGTCTTGTGAGTATCAGATTTTCCAAGCCCTCCTTCCTCATTACATGTCCCAGAAAATTCAACTGTCTCTTCCTGATAATAAGTATAAGTTTCCTCTTTGTTTCCATTCTCACCAAAACCTCGCTGTTGCTCACATGTTCGGTATAGTATTCATCTGTAGAACCACATTTTTGTTGTTTCGATTCTCTTCTTCATCTTTGAGGTAATAAACCTTTTCCTTTTTTTTTTTTTTATACAATAAAAATAATCTAGTCTGTCTATATTTCTGAGATGAGGTATTATGTACAGTATTTACATTAGTCGGACTATTGTCCTCATCTTTGTCGCCATATTTGTCTAACGTTTTGGCCGTTGTACCTCCGCCTTCTTCAGGTGGTTGGAATTTCGAACTGAACCCTTTATTTCGATCACTGGGGTAGACTGTTCTAGTTCCACGTGCCATGTTTGATGGATGTCAGTTATTAAAAATAATCTATTAAAAAAAAAATGAAAAGCTGACACTTGTACTATGTCTTTGATTGAAACTATTTAATAAGATAATTTCTATTATTCTTTCATAAATTATTTATTCTTTACCTCCTATCTTTTAGATATCTTGTCAGGTCACTGCAATGTGAAGTAATGGTTAACAAGCTGATTTATTGATCCATTTCTATTACTTCTTGTGCAGTGACCCTTCTGACGGTTGGCAATCATGGCTCCACATCACATACTGTCTTTTGTAGTCTTAGTAAATTTTGTCTTTTCACTATCTCTCTTAATCCTTATTTTGTCATCCATTTACTGAAGGGCTTACAGTCAAATCATGCTGAAACACAGGTTCCTGTTTGATCCCCAAAGTTTTATAAATATCTATCAGACAATGATGCTGTAGAGATACAAGCGATGCATGTGGGTCGGGTCAGAGGTGGATTATTGAATTGTTATCTGACTTCTGTTGGGTGATCATAATGGATAACCCAGCATGATTCATGGTGTAACTGTACAGTATCAAGTCATTTGAGATCTTTTCTGAGTTTTGCTTTGAAGATTTTATCTTTGAGTTTCGGAATTTATCATACACATTCCTTCTGCTTCCTTTCTTGCACAACTTGGATGTGCAGTTAGTGCAATGGTCATCAGCAAAGAATCCAAGCATTACAAATGAAATGCTATTGAATCATCTTAGGCATCTCCTCTGTAGATATCATAAAAAATGATGCAGTGTGAGACACCATCAGATAAGAAACAGGTCCATTGGAAGACATCATAATCGAGAAGAGAAAATTGAAATGGTAAGAAGCTATCAGTTTTTTCACGACTATCCTTCTTTGTCTCAGCCTGTGAAAGTCCTTTGTTGGACGTAGATATTCCCAGATTCCTGGAGAGGAAAGAGCCATTATCCTACCTTGCTGATGAATGCATGTTGGTTAGGCTGCATGTGACACACTTGGGCAATCATATCATTTTTTGATTTGTGATTGCCCAAAGGTATTTGTGTAAAGGAAATCAACAAACCCAACTATGCAATTTCTCATCTCGAGCTATTATCCATTACACCACCACACATCCAAACTCATAGCACCTGGTATTCCCAAGCAGGCACCCATCTAGGTACTGATGAGGCTTGACATTGCTTAACTCCAGTGATAGGATGAAAACTGGGGTTTCAATGTGATGTGAACTCAAGGTCTGCCTAAAAATGGAGTACTGTTACCATATTTGGGCAGGAGCCCTCACTTTACAGTCTTGATAGTTCAAAAGTGTCTTTAAGCCCTTATTGGAGAAGAATCATTTTTCTCTCTCCATCTTTTCTCTGCCAGGTAGGATGTGGGGAGTCTCTCACTGCTCTATCACTTCTACCATGGAAAGTGCTTGGATGAACTACACTCCTTGGTTCCACCAGATCTAACCTTCACGGCTAGAACCCACCATGCCACTTACATTGTAGCAAGCTACCCAGATTCCCTCCATATTTCATTAGCAAGAAGTAAGTTCCAGCTTATTTCTGTGAACAACTGCTCTGTGGAACAGACCTCCAAGAGGATGTTTCCCCAATCTCTACAATCTTAACCTGTTGACCACCATTATCTTCCCCCTCCTATCCGTATACACTGCCATTTAATGTAACCCTCTACCTTGAGAAGCTGCTCCAGTGATCAGCTGTGCAGTGACCCTACAACCACATCTGGTCATGGGACTGATAAAGATGCTATTAGTATTTAGAATTCAAATTTCTGTCAATTCTGAGTGATTGATTGCTTTTTTGTGGATTATCAACCCTTTCCAGGTTATTTAAAGCCAGAAAATATTTTTAGATTGTAAGAATATATATATATATATATATATATATATATATATATATATATATTTTGCAATAATAATGGTTTAGTGATACAAATCTTACTAATTAACCCAAGAAGAAAGAAGTGTTAGATTTGTATTTGCATGTAAGTGAATTTAACAAAGAGAATTGGAACTCTGCTCTCTGATTAACAATTACAAGCCATTATCTAATATACCATCTGCACATCCAAGCTTACAGCACCTGGTATTCCCAAGCAGTCACCTATCTAAGTATTGGCCAGGTTCGATGTTGCTTAACTTTGGTGATCATATGTGAACCAGTGTTTCAATGTGATGTAGCTGTAAGCCGGTCAGTTCTATTTTGTTCATTTAGCATTAATGCCCTTGGAAAAGACATGTATCCATCTTCCCCTAGCTATGGGTTAAATAGTCTGGTCTTTCTAGAAAACTCTGAAATCAAATTCAGCATTGAATAGGGATGAGCTCCATCAGTTTAGCTTATCCTAGACAGACCACTGCTGCTATGGTTGTAGTACAACCATAATGACTAATGGCTTATGGCACGTATGACATGATGCAAACACTACTTACTTTTTGTGCCTTGAATTAATCTATATAGTTTTTATTTTATTTTATTTTTACTGTTCAAAATATTGGTTGGGGAATTTTCAATTTCTCACCTTTTTACGCTCACAACTTTACCTTGATATAAACATTTCTCCCAGATGTTGAGATCATGCAGAGGTTTTTAGTATGCAGTTAAGTCTTTTAACCAGCTGTTTTCAGTTGCTGGCTTGTAAAACTTGTTCTTTGAGTGGATTGTGTTTGTGGGAGGTCTCTCTTATTGATATGTATGAGAAAATAAAGATATCCAAAGAAGAGAGAGAGAGAGAGAGAGAGAGTAAAAAACCAAAAATGTCAGAAAAGAGAAAAAGTGTAAGTGAATTCACATTTCAGAGTGTGGGATGAGGGTTCAAGTCCTGAAGTCTGCTGTTTTGTTACAGTTTCTTGGTGCTTGAATTAATGATTGCAGAATGTAATCAACCCAAAGTGTGATAAAAAGCAACAATATTGAAAGTTAAAAAAAAAAAAAAAATATAGTCCAAGACTAGTCATGAAATATAACCAGACTTCTGGTAACCCCAATTGATAATGATATTGAAGATTATCCATTATCCCATACTCTCTGCTCTTCTCTAAGCTTTTTCATTTGCTTCCTTATTTCTTTCAAACTTGTCCTTATATGTTTATAAAATGAATAAAGAAAAGTACGAGATTCTTTTGTTTCATTCTCTCTTTTATCTTTCTTTAGCTTTATCTGTAAAGTTTTTTCCATCTCTACTCATCTTTGACATGCCGTTAAATCCAACATCCATCCATTCTACTCATCTTTCCATCTTGTTCATTGTCTTTTGGTATTGTATTTTTCCTCTAACTGGATCGATAGTGGAGATAGAGGAGGATCGTAAGCTATATGCTTATTTTAATGTGTATACAATTATTACAACAAATTTCTTTCCCCAAGGGTCTCTTTCCGATTGATCAGACATGGTCGAACTGGCTGGAATTGCTTAAGGAAGACAGCAGGTGACAAACAAGAGAAACACAGATGCAGAGTTAATATTAAATAAATTTATTACTATAACATACAATAGGAAAAAAATATGAAAGATACGGTGAAAACAAAAAGTCAAAAAAAAAATATTATGGGATGTAATAACAGGAGGGGGAATTTATCCTCTCAGAAAGGTAACTAGATGAAGATCTTAGGTCAGGCCTGCATGCAAATATGCAACATGACAAAATACATTGAGCAAAGTATAAACATTTAAGAGAAACAGTAACTTATCTGATTGTTATCAATGTTCGTTTTTTTTTTATCTTTTACTTTAATGTCTCTTATGTGTGTTTCTTCTTTTCTTTTCTCTCTTTTTTTTGTTTTATATTACTTTTACATCTCTTTTCTCTTTCTTTCTCTTTTTGTTTTCTTTTCATGTCTTTCTTTCTTTTTTCTCGTTTCTGGTCTAGGGGCTTGAGTGATGAATCAATTGAAGCTGTCACTTCATAGCGCTTTTGATACAATTTCTTTTCTCTTGTGCCAAAGTTTACATCTTTTTTGGGTTAAACTTTTTTAAAAGCTGTACAAACTTCAAAATCATCTTAGATTTCTATTTCTTTCACATATCTAAATTAATAGCTGGCTGTTGCCTTCATGCCAAACAATCCATTTGGTGTAAATACCGTAGGAAGATTGTTTTGCATAAGCAAAATTATAGCTGATTATCGCATTTTATCACAAACTCTGTCTGCTTGGTTTGGCTACCTAAGTCAGACTAACTTTGTGCTGTTAGTCTTTTTGCACCTTGGTTTCATCACATGATTCTTTATTTCCAAATATGGACTTTTTTCCTGTGTGGGCGAAAAGAGGTCACTGACTCTTTCTCTCTTCTGCAGGATTTCAGAGAGTTCAAAGTCGTTTCACTGTCTGGGTTTCATCCAGTTAAATCACATCTTCAACATGTGATCAAAAGAGAAAGGAAAATGTACAATCTTTGCTCAAATGTATGCAAATTTGGCTAAAATTTGTTAATATTCAATCTTACTTTATTCTTTTTTTTTTCTATTGTTACACTTTCTGAGAGTACTGACTTTTTATTTAAAATGCTTCTAAAATATAAGCATGTATAAAGATTTTAGAAGGAACTTAGATGAGGGTTCATAACAGTATCTACCAGCAAGACTCTGTTTTTCACCTCCCTCCCTCTCACTCCTTCTCTCATATATATATATATATATATATATATATATATGAAGAAATATACTCTTAAGGTGTGTTATATTTATGGGATAAAGTACTCAATATCAGAGATAGAGCGTGTGTAAATATATAAGTAAATATTGAAGTAAACACTTAGAGGCGACTGGCTGTTTCATGCTAGATGCAATCATCTAGCATGAAACGGCCTGTTGCCTGTAAGTGTTTACTTCAATGTTCATTCATATATTATATATATATATATATATATATACATACACACAAACACATTAAAGTTCATAAGTTTGAAGCTACCTCCAGAATGGGATGAACTTGGCAGGAGAGGGAAAAAGAACTGAAAAAGAGCTCTTAGAGTCATTAAAAAAAAGAATGGAATCAATTGTGAAACTTATGCTTTGAGAAACATTTTCAACGAATACCAAAAATTTATGCTGCAGCAATCGAGCCTAAAGGAGGATATTTTGATGAGAGCAAAATTTAATCATGAAATGCTTCTTTTTCTTTTTGTCATAATAAAATTTCTAATAAAAAAATTCATATCTCACTTTTTTTTTTTAATCATATAATAATTTTCTCTCATTTAAAGTACAAAATTACTACATTTTGAGGCCAATTTAAAAAATTACCAGGAGTGATCTGAAACTTTTGAACTGTACTGTATATATATTTTCTGTGAAAAGACTTGATAAATAGGTCAACATGTCTGGTCTCTTATTTGAATAAAGATAGATATAAACATTTTCCTATCTCTCCTTCCCCTCTCTAGTTTTGATTACATATCTACTGTCTTCCTCCTCCTCTATCATCTCTCTATCATCTCATACTAACTTAAAACTGCCTCCTTGAACATGTGTGCATAAATTAAAAATAATATATAGCTTTTTAAGCCTGGAAAAATTTGTCACCCATATTTTTGTATGAAAATGGAGATCTGAAGTTGTGATGCTATTTGCGATCATCAGACAAACAATTTGTCTGACGATTGCAAATAGCATGAAACCCAGGGTCACAAACTCACGTAAATCCAACTAAACATGTTAGCTCTGTCACTGATATTGAGCACTTTCCAATAAGTACCATGCATATATAATATATAAATAATATATATAAAAATTGCATATATATATATATATATATATATATATAATATATATATATACATACACATTTCACACACACGTACATATATATATAAAAATTTGTCCTCTGTATACAGAGATAACCTTGACTTCTGATCAAAGGGAGTTGGGGTGGGTGCAGAGATGACTAATGAGTCTGATCTTTGCCCCAAAAAGTCTGTTGCAGTTGTGACATGGGATGCTGGGGGCTGAACCAGGCTTGTGGGTGGAGCCCTCTTGAGCTTTCATTTTCTGGCATCTCTGTTCTTTGTCCCTGATTCTTTTCTCTTCAAAATTGGACATTCCAGACTTTACAAGATTTACTTTAGGTGGAATGGGGAATGCCACACTGCTTGAGAGACTCCTTCAGCATGACTTTGTAATGTTTCATTGGTCTGCTGAGTGAACTTTTTCTTGGTTCCCATGCAATCTCTGATGTTAATGTCAGGTCTAGTCAGTACCTCGATGGGTGACTGCTTGGGAATATCAGGTGCTGTAAGCTTGGATTTTCAGGCGGCTTATGGTCATATCACATTAAAAATCTGGTTCCCATACGATCACCAAAGTAAAGCAATGTCAAGCATGGTCAGTACCTATATGGGTGACCAAAATGCGAGGTACTGTAAGCTTGGCTGTGAGTGTGGTATAATGGATAATGGTTCAGAATCGTTAATTGGAAAGCTGAGTGACAATACCCACTAGGTTTGTTACATTCACTTACACTCGAATACTCTTGAGAAAGGCATGAATCCACCTCTTCTCCTCCAGCTATGAGTTAATTACTTAGCCTAAACCATTATTACCTCCAAAAAATCTAAAAATATTTTTCTGGCTTTAAATAACTTGCAATGGGCTGATTAGCCATAAAAAGCAAATCAATTAAATAGTCTTTTTAATTCCTCCTCTTACTTGCATACAACAACCTCATTCAGTCACCCTCTTCCTTGTGTGACTCTTGGGCCTTGCATTGTGTGAATGATAACATAAAAAATTGACTTGTGAGCTACGGTGATGAGATATTTTTGTTTTGCAATAATATTCACCATGTACAAGGCTCAAGAGCAACTCGAGGTAGAGGAAGAGGCAAAGTTTATGAAGATATGTGGGGGTAAGATAACAGTTAACTCTAGACTTGAACAGAATACGATTACTGTGATCGGGGTGGGGGGAATTTCATCCCCTTGTGTGAACAATAACATAGAAAAAAAGTTAACTTGTGAACTTTGACCTGACAAATTCTAACTGGAATATTGTGACATTTGATTCTTGCATTTGTGGGGCGGGGCCTGTAATGGAGAAGACTTTCTCCTTTGAAGCACTTTCGATTACAAGAAAAAAGAAAGGAAATATAAACAAAGAAACCAGATGTTGTTCCACAGAGTTTGTGGCCTCTCTTTGCAGAGATCTTTTTGCTTGTGTCAAAATTATTCTTTCTG